GACCCCTTCTTCGAGCTGAGCATATCCATGGTATGTGCTGTCCACAAGAGCGAACTGAAAACCGCCCGGATACTTGAGGCTAAGGTGAAGAGCACAGTTCTTGGAACGTTCGGCGACCGAAAGCCCCGGCCCAATGTAGGTTTGAAACTTATCGAAGCCGAAGGTGATGACCGTACGGTCTGGAGAGATCGTAGTTGAGACGGAGCCTTGGGGGCAGCCACTTCCCGAGAAGCTTGCGCTGACGATCTGGATCTCTTTGGGATCAGGTGTATCCGAGGCTCCAGTTGGCCCCAAAGGCAAAGGGTTGGCTATCGCCTGTGCCACTAGGAACAAAGCAAAAAGGCCCTTCATGTTGGAGCCTGTGTAAGGTAGTGAAGGGTATGAAGAAATGACAATACAGCGTCGGGTATCTGGTGATATCAACACTCTTGTCTAAGTAGTTTCGATGAAACGGTGATGAAGATCACAGTTCTCAAAATTGGTGTTGATCTCGTGTATTTATACCCATATTCACGAAGCACACATGATAAGTGGTGGGCTAGAGTTATTAAATGGTGTTGACCCTCTTCAGTTGGTTCTCCTCGGGCCCGCGGTCAACTGAGCCTGTCGAATACGAGACACAACCTCACAATTCACCTTCTCACAGTGCCAACTTCGCTCAACAATAGAGCTGTTCCTGAAGTTACTCAAGTACCAGAAGTTGACTACACAATACATCAGGGAGATTTGGTTTGGACTGCAATCACATCGGGCGGCCGAGCTTCAAGCGAGGACCAAATGAAATTAAATTGCTCACAGATTGATTCATCAGCTGACCTCTATGCTAGAACGCCACAAAATTGTGACTCGATGCTCTGAACCAGCCGTACCAATGGTATTAGAACAGGCCATAGTCGGTCTAGACAATCTAAGATGCGGCTAGGGATGCAACTAGAGTTCCTTCGAAAAGTATACATGATGAGTGTAATATCCACCGCTGCGAGAAAGATGCTTTTGTCGTATGAGAAACCATAGACGATAGCAGCCGCTTTCAACAATGTTACAAATGCTTCACTTTGTGTCTCGGCGCAACTATGGCCAGTCATCAGAACTTGGGAGCGAAGAAACCTGAAAGCTGAGCACGCTTACGCATTAGTAGTTCGACATAATCCCCATAGTTCTTGGCCTTGAAAATTTGAGCATAGTTTAATGCGAGCCTTATTCAAGAGACGAATTTGGATTACTACGCGGAATGCCAAACAATCTTCTGAAAACAGCAGCGGAGGCGCCAGTGCTACGCATTGTCAAACCTCGATATTGCTTTGGCCAACCGAGGTGACATCGCTCAACGTGGCGAGCATATAGCTCTTAGTGGCACTGGATCATGTTTTGGCGACAAAAAGCCTTTCCTCGTTGAAGGCGAATTTAGCCTAGAGTGACCCAAGTTTTGCCTCATTGTGTGCTCCTCATTGTCTGCAGGCTCAAACGGAATGTAATTGGCCAGGATGCACTGACTTGCAGAAAGCGGCTTTTATCGTTCATCCTGTAGCGAGATGTAAACTTCTTGGATTGACTTTGCTGGGTATCGGGTGCCCTTAGAGGGGGACTCTGCACAAGAAGCCGCTCGTGTCGTGAGCTTGGGATCCTGGCAGCCATTGTCTTGACCGAACTTTGCTTCTGGAGCTGCCGCAGTCCCAGACAAGGAAAGTGCTCATAACTTCTATTTAGGACAAAGTAGTTCGTATTAGTACGTGACATAATAGTACCGCTCAATAAACCCCCAAAAGCCTGTGGCTGGTATCAAAGTTCCCTAGCCTGAATGAATGTATTATCCAGAAATTGAAAGCCAGAGGCCATGTTTCAGTCTTAGAATACAGTTTACTTTCGGCTACGGAATGTTGCTCGGCTTGCAATATCAGTAACAAATGTCAAGAGATTCGAAAGATGTGTCATGTAAAGATGTGTCATAAGATTACTGGATAAACTCCGGCTATATCTACATACCGGTAAAGCTATTTTAGTCAAATTCATCTAATTCCTCATTACATCGCTCAAGATACCTTCGCTCACGAGCTCTCAGCTTGCTTAAGAAGACCTTCCAGGTTAATGCTCTTGGGCCGCTCAATGGGCAGTCCCAATGCTCGATCCCAAATCAATTGAGCAAGGGGTCCCAAGCCACGGGAGACACCGAAGGTGGCGGTGTAGTAAAGAGTCTCGTGGAAGCCGTAGTGATGGAAGAGGACTCCGGAGCTTGAGTCGACGTTGGGATAAGGGTTCTTGGTCTTGCCGTGCTTCTTGAGCACTTCAGGGGCAATTCGACTGTTCTTTTCCACCAGTTGAAAGACGGGGTCTTGTGCAATCTCAGGTCGAGCGGCGGCATAATCCATTAGAGCCTCGAACCGAGGGTCGGGTTTCCGCAGGACAGCGTGGCCGTAGCCAGGGACAACTCTGCCGGAGTTGAGAGTGGACCACAGGTAATTTGTGACGTCCTTGTCAGAATAAGACGAGGGAATGTTGTCCTTCATCTGTAGAATCCATCGAAGAACCTCTTGCGCGGCAAGTCTATGCGGAGGTCAGCATTGGCTCGTTAAAACAGCAGTAATCGATGGTGACAACATACCCATGAAGAGGACCCGCAAGACCTTGGAGACCAGCACTGTAGCTTAGGAAGGGATCGCTAAGGGCGCTGCCAACCAGGTGAGTGGCATGAGCGGAAACGTTACCGCCCTCGTGGTCTCCGTGGAGAGCGAGGTACAGTCTGAGGAGATCTTGGAAGTTCTCGTTCGCCTTGCCACCCTTTCCAAGCATGGCAGCAAAGTTGTAAGACCAATCTTGTTCCAGGTCTACTTCTGCGGGCAGAGCGCCGCCGCCACCGTAGGAGTTCTGGTAGATCTTGGCAGCGATCGTGGGCAGCTTAGCCAGCAGCGAGATGGAGTCGTCAAAAGTAGGCTCCCAGTAGTCAGCCTTGTTGATACCCTGCTCGTAGGCCTTGGCAAACTTGGAGGTGTAGTTGAGGGCAGAGACGGCAATGGCGAATTGGGTCATTGGGTGCAGATCTTTGGGGAAATCGTCGAGAAGCTTGTTGACAAAGGCGGGCAACTGAGCTTGCTCGGCCAATTCACGGGAAAATTGGCGAACCTGGTTCGTGGACGGGACCTGACCTGTAAGAAGAAGCCAGAACATGGCCTCGGGCAACATTTCGGTTCCAGTCTTTCCCTTGGGGAGCTCTTTCTGGCAATCCTTGATGGTCCTGCCGTGAAACCGAATGCCCTCATTCGCATCCAAGACGGAGCCCTCCCAAACCATTGCCTTGAGGCCTCGCATGCCACCAAGAGTATTCTCGACCTTGACCTCCCCAATGACCTTGGACGAGTGTGCCTTGACCTTTTTCAGAAGCTCTCGCTTGGCGGGAATGACGCTCTTCAGTGTGGTCTTAAGGTCCGGTTCGGACGTTGAATACTGGCGCGCATTAAGGGCAGAGCGAGCTGCCAAGGGCTACGGAGTGTCAGACCATAACCGTCTAGCAATATGTTGATAGCAGTGACTTCGACTTACCCTTAGGGCTCCAAGAGCTCTGGTGCCTTTTGTGATGTTCATGGCCATGGCTGCCGACCGAGGGAAATTCCAAGGGAGGATCAGCGACGGAGAGGTTATGGGGAGGGGTAGAGGGCGGAACGAGGTGACCAGAAAAAGCCAGTAGTAGCTGAATGGCTACTCAATCGACCGGCTGGATCAGATCAGATTGATCTTAGGAGTACTAAAGGTAGGTAGGTAGGTAGGTAGGTAGAGAGAGACAAGCAGCGGGTGATGAAACTACTGTAGGAGGAGAAACTTGAGGAAGAAAAGTCACGAGCAGACGAGCGAGGAAACTTCACATTGTGCCGACCTAGCTGGATAAGCAGGTACCGCAGCAGGCCGAGACAAACAGCTTGACCCGAGGTTGGGGAAGCCTGGATGAGCGGCACTGACCTACCCCCGCGGGAGAGGGGATGTGTAAGTCAGCGCGTTGCTGCACTCCTCAGACCGCCGCCAGCCATGCACGGGCAAGGTAGTAGGTATGCCGGACGGTGCCTTAACATTGAACGGTAGGGAAACTACCAACCCCATGTTAAGCGGGTTACCTTGGGTTGCATGCCCGATACCTACCTAGGTAGGTAGATATTGTGGCTAGGTATTAAGGCGCTGGCGGGGTGGTCTTCAAGGTCGGTGGGGGAGTGCACTGGAACGACAGGGGACGGGACCCCAGCTTTTTGCCCACCTCCTCCACGTTTGGCACGGGCAGTACCTACGGGTTCCAGCGGCCGGAGCGTCATTGCTCATATCCCGTGCGCCGTGAGTGGCCGGGGAAGTTCACAGACCCATATTTGCTTTACCACAGCTGCTTTAACATCCGTTTGGACACTCCCACGGTCACTTCTTCCCCACGTCGCTGGCACTGTGAGTCTGTGGCCGATGAGGGGAAATGAAAGGGCCGAGGCAAGCCGACGCAAATGCGGATCTTGGCTCTGGTCCATTGACCAATGAGAGCATCTCACATGGCCCTTGCCCGTGGTGACCTTTGTCTTGCCGCTGCTTACCAAGGCTGTTGATTCGCTTTTGCCCGGCTAACACTCGCCGAAGTTGAGCGCTCCCAGCTGCCCTGTCCATTTCCCACGTTATTCCCATTCAAGGCCCTCTTATGTAACATCCCTTATTCCGAGTGCCGAGTCGTTGCCTCTCGGATTTGCTTATGGAGAAACCTGCCTCGCTGGCGATAACATCCTAAACTCCTCGTAATAGACGGGCATCATCGCTCTGTAGACAACACCACGACCGGGGAAAGCCTTGAGGATTCTATCTTGTGCTTCTCCTTCACACTTTGCAGCATCTCGGTACTCCCACCTCCAAAAGAAAACGACACGACAATGATGCGACGAGCTGCTGCGCGAGCAGTCACCCGGAGGGTTCCTCTCACAAGCCCGTCTTCAACACCTGCTGCTGCTGCTGCTGCTGCTGTACGCTGTTTCTCAATAACAAGGAAAATGGCACAAGCACCCACGAACTCATTCTCTGCCTCCGCCCCTCCTAGCGATAACTTCCAACTTATGGCCGAGTTTAAGAAGGCCGGTGCTGCTGAGGATGAACTCTACGAAGCGCAGATCAAAGAGGTTGAGGCATGGTGGCAGTCACCGAGATACGAAGGAATAAAGCGGCCATACAGCTCAGCTGATGTGGTTTCCAAGCGCGGTTCGCAGCATCAGTCATACCCGAGCTCCGTCATGGCGAGAAAGCTCTTCAACCTCGTCAAGGAGCGGGAAGCTGAGGGCAAACCTATCCATACGAGTACGGACGCTCCTCTCCCCGCCTATTCATGGATGAGTAGATGCTAACCGCCGTTACCTTATAGTGGGCGCCATTGATCCTGTCCAAATGACCCAGCAAGCTCCTCACCAAGAAGTTCTGTATATCTCAGGTTGGGCCTGCTCCTCCCTCCTGACCTCTACTAACGAGGTTTCCCCCGACTTTGGCGACTACCCCTACAACACAGTTCCGAACCAAGTCCAGCGTCTCGCCAAGGCGCAGTCAATGCATGATCGGAAACAATGGGATTCTCGGCGGAAGCTCAAGGCCGAAGAACGCGCAAAGACCCCATACATCGACTATCTACGACCCATTATTGCCGACGGTGACACCGGACACGGCGGTCTCTCCGCCGTTCTCAAGCTCGCCAAACTTTTCGCAGAGAACGGCGCCGCTGCGGTGCACTTTGAGGATCAGCTTCACGGCGGTAAGAAGTGCGGCCACTTGGCTGGCAAGGTCCTGGTCCCCATCGGGGAGCACATCAACCGTCTCAATGCTGCTCGTTTCCAATGGGACGTCATGGGCTGTGAGAATCTCGTCATCGCCCGCACCGATTCGGAGAGCGGAAAGCTCATCAGCAGTGCCATTGATGTGCGCGATCACGAGTTCATCCTGGGCGTGGCGGACCCAAGCTTCGAGCCCCTCGCGGAGACTATCCAGGCCATGGAGGCCATGGAGGCCAAGGGCGCGGTCGGGGCCGAGATCGACGCTTTCGAAGCCAACTGGGTCAAGAGCACCAAGCTGGTGACTTTTGACGAGGCTGCCGTGGCACACATGCAAAAGGAGGGTGTCTCACAAGACAAGATTGACGCGTATCTCGAGGCGACACGTTCCAACCGCGATATGGGGATCTCCCAGCGCCGCAAGCTCGCCAACGAGCACACCTCGACACCCGTCTACTTTTCCTGGGACGTTCCCCGCACGCGCGAAGGCTTCTACCACTACCGCGCCGGCATGGATGCCGCCACGAAGCGCGCCATTGCCTTTGGCCCCTACGCTGACCTCCTGTGGGTCGAGACTGGCGATCCCAACGTCAAGGTCGCTACAGATCTGGCCAGGGCCGTCCGCGCCGTTTATCCGGGCAAGGGGCTCGTCTACAACCTCAGCCCTTCGTTCAACTGGATGGCACACGGATTCACGGACGAGACGCTCAAGAGCTTCATCTGGGACATTGCCAAGGAAGGGTTCGTGCTGCAGCTCATCTCGCTCGCTGGCCTGCACTCCAACGCCACCATCACAAACGAGCTTGCGAGGGATTTCAAGAAGGATGGCATGCTGGCGTATGTGAACATTGTGCAGAGACGCGAGAAGGATGGTGGCTGTGACGTTCTGACGCATCAGAAATGGAGTGGCGCTAGCTACATTGACGGGATCCTTGGGGCCATCCAGAGTGGCAGCTCGAGCAGTAAGAGCATGGGCGAGGGCAACACCGAGAGCCAATTCCACTAGAGAGCCATCTATAAAAATGCATATGGGCGGCGTTGCGGAATCTTCTAGCGTTTTCAGGATATCAATTTGTCGTTTCATGATGTACACCTCTCGCCTGTTTACCCCGTGTTTGCCTGCCAATAGATGAGCGGCTGGGCATCTAGAACACCAGGTCTAACAAAACGAAAAAGCGAAGAAACACAACAAAATAAAAAAACATTAGCACTGATTTGGTGAGCTTCTTGAAGAGTAAATGCTTTAAAATGTCTATGCACAGTTTCATCATCATGGCCTTTTGGCCGTATATGCCCCGATCTCTTGCCCCAGCGCCCTAAACTCCAACCCAGTACGGTATCATATCGCGAAATTCGGATTCAAACAAGCAGCGCAACGCAACTTTACTCGAGGCTGGTGCGGCTGGCGTTGTTGATGGGGGCAGGCGCCGCGGGGCCCTCGGGGGTGACATAGGCCTTGGTCATGCCGCCATCGACGACCATGTCGTGGCCGTTGACGAAGCTGGACTCGTCGCTAGCGAGGAAGAGAACAGCCTGGGCCTGCTCAATAGCCTCGCCAAAGCGGCCGGTGGGGAAGTGAATCTCGCGGCGCATGCGCTTGGGCACGTCGTCGCCGAGCCAGTCCTGCAACAGAGGAGTGTTGAGAGGCGCCGGGCAGAGGGAGTTGAAGCGGTAGCCCTCGCGGGCGTGGACCATGGCGAGCTCACGGGTAAGAGCGAGGACGGCACCCTTGGAGGCGGTGTAGGCAAGCTGAGGAGTAGCGGCACCAACAAGAGCGACGACTGAGGCGGTGTTGATGATGGAGCCCTTTGTCTTCTTGTTGCGGCGGAGGGCAAGAACAGCGTGCTTGCTGCCGAACCAAACTCCCTTGACGTTGATATTCTGGGTCAGATCCCAGATCTCCTCGGGGGTGTTCACAGCATCGTCGTCCTTGGCGTGCATAATTCCGGCATTGTTGAAAATAATGTCGAGTCCACCCCAGGCATCAACGGAATCGATGAGGGCCTTGACCTGGTCCTCCTTGGAAACATCGGTAACCTATCATGGCAAAGAGAAATCGTTAGCAAAAATGAATGGAACACTCCCAGTCGTTGGGTTTCGCGTTGTGTCGTGTGACGAGGCAAGAAACGAGACAAGATGAATGGCGGGGCATGGCGGGGTAATTCTTCTTTTTGGGTTGTGCAATGTGCGGGTGTGCTGCTGCTGTCACCGCGTCCAGCGTAGTGCAGTGCGTTGCTGTTGGCGTTTGATTCGATGCACGCCGGAGCGGCGGGAATGGGATCTTCCATCACTTTTCATTCGCAGCCAGACTCAACGTACCTTGGTCTCAATTCTGGCCGACGGGAGCAGCGACAGAACCTTGGCCTTCGCCTTTTCCAGTGCCGGGGCAGAGATATCGGCCATGGCAACGCTGGCACCCTCCTTCGCAAAGAGAATGGTCGTCTCCAAGCCAATGCCACTGTCACAGTTGCTTGTCAGCTTATCGGATCCTGTATGCCATGTGCGTATGATGCGGTGAACGCCCAGCCACTGGGGACTCGTCCCGATGCGCCGTGCTGATAAGGCGCCTCTGAGACCATGAGGGGTTGCAACATTGCATTGGGTGACCTTACCCAGCAGCGCCAGTGACGACGGCGTTCTTGCCAGCCAGGCGACCTCCAATCTCAGCAGGAACGGAACCCATTTCAACGGTGTTGATGTCTTTCGGAATGTGTCTTTTTGTTGTTGCTGTGATGTCGAATCGCAAGTCACATATGGTGAATCGCGAAGTGGCGGAGGAACGAGTTGCGGTTCCAAGGTTTTGGTGTGGTAGTCAAAGTGCCGTTGGTAGCTTGGAGCTCTAAGTTGGAAACAAAGTGTGTTGATGAGAAGAGAGAAGAGCAGGTTGGTCACGACGATGCGACGGGCACGATGTGTTTAAAGAAATCAGCAAGACGGGGCTGGTCTAGTATAATGGAGCCGAAGAAGGATAGAAGGCCGTCGTATGGCACGAAATGAGTCAAGGAAATCCGGGGTCCAGGCCACTTGTTGCCGCCCTGGCCAATTTCCATCGACTAAGACAGAATGATGGACGGGACTGCTAAGATAGTCGCAAACACGGAGTAGGCACTGGATACAAAGCGCGCAAGCGCGGTACGGATACATATCGAGATGCACCAGACATCATCACCCACCCCCTTCCTTGCTCACGATTAGCTGCTCGAGCCTTCCTCTGGCGAGATTGATCCGACAACGGCGCATCGGGAACACCATCTCGGCTCCCATATGTGACACGGGGTGACGGGGTGCAGCCAGGACCGTCCTAGGTTGGCAGGTTGGGCAGGCAAGCTGCGTATCGGTGCCAGGGCCATGGTGTCCATACTCAGTGTCGTGCCTGTCCAGCTGTACAGTCCTAGGTATGTAAGAGAAACGGCTTGAATCGTGATCGATAGACCGTTCGTCTACCACTGCTCAGAACGGAGCTTGTCGGTCAACGATAGGCGGTATCGCATGCGTTGGTGGATTTCCAAATACGGAGCATAAAACGTGTCGACGGGCGCAAGTTCCGATATCGCGTTATCTCTTATCAGTGGGTCAGACCGCGGCGTTGCATGATGGACGTCCAAGTCAGGAACCAACCCCTCCGTGTCTGATGGAGGGGGAATATGAGAGAGAGACACTGTGGTACTCCGTACACTGGTAAGGTTGGGTGAGGTGTCCATAAGCGAGAGGGTGAGTCGAGCGAGCGCTACTTCCAGAGGCTGGCTGCATCTTTCGCGGCATGCCTTATCTCTCTGCCTTGCAGATATAAGAAAACCTCATTATCGGTAGACGTTGAATAGTAGTAGGTAGGTAGTAGAGCCAGTTGGGGAACAAAGGAACGAGACCCTATGTGCATGGTTCCGAGAGTGCAGCTGGATTGGTGAGCTAAGGCGAATCCAGGCCAATAGCATCGAATTGCGAGTGCTAAGGCTCATAGTTATCGGGCTAAGAGTGCAGACCAAGAAAGGCACAGACTCGGGATCTGCTGGATTGAAAGTTGATCAGACAAGTCGCCACTGAGCGTCTCGTCAGGTGTCAGGGTGTGTATGTGTTCGTACTCCGGACGGTGTAAGATTGGGCGGCATGGCGGCAGAATGCAGGTGGTAGAGCGAATACGGTGTGTGTCTGTAACCGTACCATCCGGAAACACTTGGTGACTTGGGGAATTCAAGGGCGGAGAGGCGCAAGGCAAGCGAAGCGGTAATGGGAGCGGTCAGTTTGAACCCCTCCACACCTCTCAGGCTCACATCGTCATGTGGGCAGCCGGGGGCCTCGACGGTGAATGAGAAACGTCCATGTGGTGTTTGAGTCCGGACGCATCGGAGAAACCATTACCATTCACAAATTCATCATTCGTGGATCGTGGCAGATCGCGGCTCGGGACCGCGCTGAGGGGGGTTCCCCGAGGCGAGGGTCGGCGGTGCCGATAGACGCCTGGCGTCCGGGGGGGGGGGGGCACCGGTCAACCGTGTGAGGGCGACGGTAGAACATTGATTTCAGTCGAGCGAGCAGGCGGCAGTACGAGAGATGGAGACGGAGGTGCGCAGGTACTCGAGTAATGTCATTGTTGAAGATTGCACAGCATCAAAGAAAATATTTGCCGCGCTGGCAACAAAGAAGTTGCGCAAAGAAAGCTGTGTGCGGTATCAGCGGACAATAGATCATGACAAGGGTAGGTAGAAGCAATAGTAGCGGGCTGTGGAGGCGGCAGAGGGGTCAATGACTGATGAAATTGAATCTCCATCGTGAACCCCTCCATTTCAGAACTCCCCGCTGTCGGCAACTCAAGCGCGGAGGATCTGGCCATCATGGGGCCAAGAGATCTATCTGGGTTCGGGGATGATCCTTTTGGCATCGAGCAGCCGGGTGCCGCGGTCTCAGGTCAGACAAACAATCAACACAGCGCGGCAGCATGCGGGATGGGCAACGGGTGGCGTGGGGTAAGATTGGCGTTGGTGAGTTGGCGACAGTGAAGAAGCTCACGATGAAGTAGCGATGGCGGTGACGGTGTTGACTGGAAAGGGACTGAGAGCACTTTGGAGGATGTGTGAGAGGAAGACAGGTGGACAGAGATGGAGACAGCGTGCGAGGAAGCATGGGGAAGATATTGGTTTTCACAAAAAATCTCTCATACTCACACAGTGATGACTACTAAGTTGTCAACAGCTGCAACAGCAAGTGCCCCCAATGGCGATTGAGACAATTCCATTGTTTTTGTCACAATCCAGCAATAGCATCCCAGGCCACCTGGGCTTCATCCTGCATCCTGCCTATCCAGGCTTTGACTTACCTAAGACACGCATCTACCAGACGGAAGGCGCCCATGGGATCCTGCCATTCTGGCCGAGGGAGACATGAGAGGAAGTGCTTATGCCTAAGGTTGAGGAGACTGAATGAGGAGACACAACACTGAAGTGGTGAGGAGTCGTGGGGTGATTGCCCGCCCGGACAGTGCGTCCCTTGGGAACGTACCGCGGTCTAAGGTAAGGTAGCCAGCCCGGTCTGTGCGTGACTGCCGCAATGACGCACCTGGAAAGTCACCGTCCCTCCCCTCCTTCCTCGCTCTGTGCCGCTGGGTGCCGCTTACCTGCTAAAAGTATCCATCCCCACGTCGAACCGAGAGGCAGATGGGCAGCAGATGTCGATTGCCAAGGAACAAGACGCATAGAACAGGATGGGAAGCAGCTCACGCGGCTCGATACCTTCCAGACTCAAGTCTCACCATGCTTGTAAACAGATTGGCGCTCCGGGCCGATGTCATTGTTCACTCGGAAGCGTTAGGTAATAAACCGTAAACCGTAAACCGCAATCAAGGGCAAGCGCAAGGCAAGGCAAGGTTGCTTCCAGGTTGTCAGTCGTCACTCGGCTTCCTCAGCTCCCCCAAATCCCCAAATCGCATCATTCCATTGGCCGCGCGCTCCCTTATCGGCGGGACAATCCACACCAGTTGCCGCAGGCGAGGGAACCTTGGAGTTAGCCCATGTATATGCCCACCTACATTTATATGGAAAGATACTTTGGAGTAAACATATGGAGGTGCGCGGGCAGTGTGCAGCGGCGCTATCTTCCTTGCTCTTGCGACTCTCGCTGCTGCTCAATGCTCGCTCACTCCGCAAGTACCTCACATGCCCACCTACGGATAACATACCTCTCCAAAGATACGATAACTGTTCCGTACCGCTGGCCCTCCACGTCCCTTTCCGCGTTCCCTCAAGATCCCGACCTCAAGTCCCTCAAGTCGCTCCGTCTCCAGTCTCTCGTCTTGCTCAGGACCCACGATCTTGTTCTGCCTCGGTCTGCTTCTCGTGTCTCTTGCGCGCTCTTCTAAACATTCCTCTTTCTCTATCTCTCTCCTGCCCTCTGCTACAGCCTACTTCTAGACATCATCATTTATCAGCTCGTACGCAAGTAGAAAACGGCAGAGACTTCCTTTCTCCCGTCCTTCTGCCACGACAGACTTTACTACTACCACACCTCCAACTCCAACCCCAACTCCAAGCCGCGAGCTTTCGTCCCATCCATCGCCATCCAAAGTCAATTGGTAGCTTCGTTACACTCGCGCTTCTTTACCATCTCATCTTAATTCACAATGGCGTCGTCCAACGAAGCCGTGACCATCGAGTCGCTACCCGAGCTTCTCAAGAATGACAATAAGGTCAAACTTGCCGGCATCGATGTCGACGGCATGCTCCGAGGAAAGCTGGTGTCCAAGAATAAGTTCCTGTCCGTCGCCAAATCGGGCTTTGGCTTCTGTTCTGTCATCTTTGGATGGGATATGCACGATATGACATACATCAAGGAGCTCAAGATCAGCAACGCCGAGAACGGCTATCACGATTTGATTGCCATCCCTGATCTTTCTAGCTTCCGCCGCATCCCCTGGGAGGATAATGTGCCCTTCTTCCTCGTCAGCTTCTTCGACCCGGATACCCAAGAGCCCATTTGCGCATGCCCTCGTGGTCTGCTAAAGAATGCTCTGGCCAAGTTGCAAGCCAAGGGCTACGGTGCCATGGCCGGAGGTCAGTTTGCAAACACGCTGCGTTGATGCTCTCGCTTCGGAGAAACAGCAAGCTAACCGCGTGATCCCTCTCACAGCCGAGTACGAGTTCTACCAGTTCAAGGCGCCTACCCGCTCCACCGAAACCGCAAGCTCAACGGCCGGATACCTGCAAGAGAACCCCCCGCAAGCTTTGCCGTCCCTTACAGAGGGCATGTTTGGCTACAGTTTGACCCGGACGGTGCACAACAAGGACTACTTCTACGACATTTTCGAGACTTGTTCTCAGTTCAAATGCGATATCGAGGGTTGGCATACGGAGAGTGGTCCCGGTGTCTTTGAGGCAGCGCTTGAGTTTGGAGAAATTGCACAGATGGCGGACAGAGCCAGCTTGTTCAAGTAAGTTGACCAGTCCGTTTAGGCTTGCATCTTACTGACCGTGTTTCTTACAGGTACGTTGTCAAGTCGGTCGCAACGAAATACGGCATCACGCCGTGCTTCATGGCGAAGCCAAAGCAGGGCTTGCCTGGAAACAGCGGACACATGCATGTTTCCATTGTCGATAAGGATGGCAAGAACCTTTTCGCTCGGGAAACAAAGGATGAGAATGCGCCATACCCTGATGTCGCTAATCTCTCCGACCTGGGCCGGCATTTCCTGGCCGGCTTGCTGGAGGGTCTTCCAGATGTCATGACAATGCTGGCACCCACAGTCAACTCCTACAAACGCCTCGTCGAGAACTTTTGGGCGCCAGTGACAGTATCATGGGGTTTGGAGCACAGAGCAGCATCAATTCGCCTCATCGCCCCGCCGACATCGAAGCCTGGCGCAACGCGGTTCGAAGTTCGTGTCCCAGGCGCAGACACCAACCCTTTCTTCGTTCTGGCAGCAATTCTCGCTCTCGGATGGCGAGGTGTGGAGAAGAAGCTGGAGATCCCCGTCCCGCCTTTGGGCAAGGGCGAGGATGTTGGTGGCAAAGCTGACAAGGGCGTACGGCTTGCAAAGAGTCTTCGTGAAGCAAATGATCGGTTCATGCGAAAGGAGAGCATTGCAAGAGAAGTGTTCGGTGATGACTTTGTCGATCACTTTGGGGGAACAAGAGATCACGAAATTCGGGTCTGGGACGAGGCCGTGACAGACTGGTATGTATAAACCCTCGGAGCGACATCTGATGGCGATGATGGTGAGCATGGCTAATGAAGTAATCTACACAGGGAGGTAAAACGGTACATCGAAACAGTCTAGTGGTCCGGAGTTTGGCGGAGCGCGTTTTTCTCTACTACTTGTTTGGATTTTTAAAGATATTTTTATCCCATATCGGATCAGCCCGGGAAAGACGTCAAGCCATGCGACTATGGAGCTCGTCGGAGCCCGTGCCGTCTCACGAGATAGGTGGGGGTTAGGCGCAACATCTCCACTTCCCTTGCCTTGGCCGCGCATCCTTACCTACCTTGCCCAGCGTTGTTCAAAGGGACCCTATCTAGATACCCCCTTCAAATGCCGACATATTGATATACGTACAGAGCAGCGTCAGCCGCGGCTATTTGACCATCTGATATTGGCCGGTGAAATTGTGTTTGAGGAAGGCATTTGCTGTGCAGGTTGAAGGATGACATGGAGGTGTGGTTGATTGGTGGTATGAGATGCGCCTTTTGTGACAACTTGGTGCGCTGGTGCATAACAGTTACGAGCGAGCGAACCACTGATCCAATCCTGGATGGGGAGCGAGCGCCCGAAGCTTGAGATGAGACCCATTGCCTCTCAGCGGCGCGCCGAGGTGCCCCTCTACTAGGTCGTACATGCAAATAATATGATAATGCTTATGCATGAATTATTGGCTGGTCCGAGTGGTCACCTTTCTTTCATTGGCTCGCGATGGCTGAGTTGAGGCCTCATGCCGGTCAAGTTCGCCGCCCGTGACAAGTGGGAGACGTGAGTCAAGAGAGAGGCTCAAGTTTGTTTCTTCGCGCCGCTGCGGTGCTGTCCCTCTCCTCCCCTCTCAGAGGCAATGCAACAGAGGGGACGCTGCAGCAGCAACCGGAAGCTCCGATGCGGGCTCAAGCTCGGTGTCCTCTGCAAGGCCCTCTTATCCTGCATTCATGAAAGGCCAACGACTGGTGAGGTGGGAAACAAGGTCTCTGTGGGCAGCGTTGACGGTGGGCCGAGGAAAGAAACGACAGAAAATTCACCAAACACGAGATGCCAAGCTCTGGACCTCTATTTGAGGGAATAAAATTTCCAAAAACCAACAACTACAAGATATCTCAAGTAACGAGTTTCTTCAACAGTACCATCTCAACAAAACATTGCCGTTGACGTCAAGTACGTCAGTAGGAGCTGATATATTGATTACCAGAGAGAATCCGGATCTTGATGCTAGATAGTCGTCGAGCTATTGGTTTGCGTTGCCTCACCGCATCGATGAACCCATTTTTCATTTCGCCAACTGCCCATGTGCCGAGCTGGGCTTCTGGAAGGAAGGAAGGGAAGGACAGCGTCACTTCAGCTAAATCACCACAGACAATGGGGCAGCTGGCTAGCTTCTGCTGTATCCGCAGAGACTAGCATACATGATTGCCACGCCGCTAGCTCCATTTGACAGGCAAACACTGCGTGGCACCCTGGGCGGTTGGAGCTCCCGAGGAAGGCAAGTCGGCCATGGACCCATGCCCCCCTACCTTGGTCTTCCTCGTGGCTTTGATGGGCAGCGAGAGGGTTCGAGCAGTTCATACAGGTCGTCATGCCCTCTTGCCATCGGGAGATGTCCGCTGGAGGGTGGTTGACAAGTTACGAAGCAACGGTCATCGCAATGGTCTCTCTTTTCGCGGTTGGTCTCCCGCTTCGGGCCGAGCTTCCTGCAGAAGCTACGACAGGAACCAACGATCTCTCTGCGGTGGAACTTGAGGGCAGGCGAGGGATCACTCCCAGCACCGTTCACCGTTCACCGTTCTCGAGTCCTATCGCCTACAATGTCTACCGCCGCGTTGGCAATCGAGTCCGTTTGGAAAGGAGCGAGCAAGCACCCTTGAGGGCAGCATCCTGCCGGCCAGCGTCGCATCCCGCCAGGAGCATTCTAGACCTTCACTCTTGGGGTGGCATTCTGATCCTTGGGAGGACCTGTTGAGACGTGCTTTGACTGGGCTGCTACTTCAGAGTAGTGTACCTACTGTACTTGTACTCCGTACAATACTTGTTCACAAGACATCAGTGACCGAGGTCGTGAAGAGAATGCCAGGTTGAGCTTGGCTCCATTTGACCCTGGAACATCCGAACAAGGTAGTTCGGAGGCGTGCCGCATCTTGGTATACCGGACGGCGTGAAGTGGCAGGTATGTGGTTACCATTCCTTCTGCAGAAAAGAAGACGAGAAAGACAGGTGAGGTGGGATTTACCTCACGAACAAGGTGAGTATCCGACTCAGGATCCCTTGTGCGGATAAGAATGCTGAGTCGCCAATCTAACGACTTTGCGCGTATGACACGGGAGCTGGCGAGAATATGAAGTTTGAGGTATCCTAAAGAGACATTGCTGTCGTAAGCCCAGTATGTAATGTACGGATAGTGTACCGGGATTTATCTTAATTTGCCTTTCTCTTTGGCCGGTGTTTTTCGCAAGTGTCCCTTGCCCTGAAAATCATACCCATGCTCCAAGCTCAAGTGCCATGACTACCCTGTCTCATTCTCTGATCCTGGCTTTATTATCCGTACAACTGCACTGCAGACAAGCTCAGACCCTGGCCGTGGGAACAAGCACAGGGTCGGGCAGGTTGCGATTTGAGAAGTTGAGATGGCTTGCCGCAAAGAGTAAATGCAACTTGCCAGCCACAGCCCAGCCGCCCCGTTGTTTTCCTGGTCCCTCTCTGCATGCATGCATGCATGCGCATCTTTTGTCCGGGGGGTCAGGGAGGGGGGTTTTCAACGGCTTGAATTTTTTTTCTCTCTCGTTTTCAAATCCTCCATGGATTTCACCAATTCCTGGGCGGCACATCCCATGCTGTCCCTTGCTCCATGGCCCGCCGTCGACCGCCTCCCGCACTTCCCATGCTGTCTCCTCTCGAGCCAGTGGCTCCTTGCGGACAAGTGCTCCGATCAGAAGCCAAGTGTGATTTGATGGCGTCAGGTCCTGGCAGAGGAGCAAGGGAAAAGTAGAGAGTGAGAGAAAAGAAATGATGCACACCGTGGAGGTTCCATCCATCGAATCCCGTCCAAGTCAAGCTCTAAAGTATCCCGCGGTAAATGTCCATTTCCCTCATCAGGTCCTCCCTCCCCCCTTTCAAATTAGCCTTTCCCATCCGGTCTTGTGCATTGCGTAGTCCTCATCCCCTTTGTTCTGCCATCGTCCTTTGTCAACATTCAGGAGGCCAACGGGCTGCCCTTGTCTTTGGTGTGCTACTGTCCTTTCATCGACTACCTCACCGGTTGTCAAGGGGGTGAATACAAAGACACCCGCCAACCCTCGACAGGACAATCACTTGATGTATCTGTACTGATACTCTGTGCGTAACCCACCTTCCCCGCGCTGATATTGGCCTGGGTATTTCATCTATCATATCTTACTTTCTCTTCTATTCTCCTTTGGGGCAATTTCATTAGCCATCCCACGTGTGGCCATATTACCCCCGAGGAGGCCGGGCCCACGATTGAGCCCCATTTGGGAAATCTGGCGAGCGAAGACAACAACCGTGCAGTGAATCGCTCTGTGAGAGTAACAGAGCACTGAAGCTTCTTTGCAAACGTAGAGACGCGATCAAGAAACGACATTGACGTCGGCTAGAGTTGGAAGAAAACCCTAAGGTAGTCTCAGGTTTCTACCTAGCGGAGTCATTTCTAAAGCCCACCGATATGGGTGAGGACGTGGACGCTGTTGGCGACCCTGGCACTGGCGATGGCAACGGACGCAGGGGCGATAGTGCCGGTGCCACAAGAAACCGGACGGACCACAAAGAACGACGCAGGCCATCTCGAACAGACAATACCCAAGATGCCGACGACGGCGACGAAGACGACTCAGACGCCGGGTCTGATTTCAGCTCCGTCTCTGTTGACGAGCTCCCGCCCATCCGCGCTTATGGTCACACATACCACGGTTCTGGTGTACTGCTAATGCCCAACGATGAATCCGAGCGAGCTCGTCTAGAAATTCAACACCAGCTATTCAAGCTGTGTCTCGAAGGTGGTTTGACGGCGGCGAAGCTCCCCAAGGATCAGCCTCTCAACATTCTCGACATTGGTTCCGGAACCGGCAACTGGGCCGTTGAGATGGGCGAGCAGTACCCCCTGGCCAAGATCATGGGCATCGACATCTCCGCGGCGCTCTTGCCCACGACTGTGCCGGCCAACGTTGCTTTTGAAGTCGAAGATGCAAACCACGACTGGGCTCGTGACAAGGACAGCTTGGACTTTGTGCACATGAGGAACCTCGTCGGCGGGGGCGTCTCGGACTGGAAGGCGCTTTTCCGGCAAGCGTACGGACACCTCAAGCCCGGTGGACAGATTGAGTTCGCCGAAGTGAGGACGAGGTACTTTGACCTTATTGACAGCAGCGGAGACGAGCCCGTTGCGCCCACGGCCGAGGAGGAGGATCACGGCGGGATGACGGCATGTCGCGAGTTTGAGGTGCGGTTCTCGGAAATGGCCAAGATTGCAGGCGTCGACTTTGACCCGACACCAAAGATTCCTGCAATGTTTTCTGATGTCGGGTTTGAAAAGGTGGCACGTTGGTCGGATCTGGTTCCCATACAGGCTGTGGGACATGATGAAAAGATGGTCAGAAAAGGGGCACAATTTGCTCAGATGCTGGAATATGGTATGCTCACTTTTAACAAGTTCAAGCTCCCTCGACTAACATGTCACCAGGCTTGGAGAATTACTCGTTGGCAGTCTTTGGCAGGGGAGGTTGGGATGAAAACGATACCCGGAGTCTCCTGAAGAGAGTCCACAAGGAGTCGCGCGATACCGCAAACGAGGCATATGGGAAAGTGTAGGTTCCTCGAGATACAATTATGGCTTGACCAAGAAGCAGCTGACTAACTCTCATTCTCTAGATCATTTGTCACGGCGAGGAAGCCTTTGTGATCAGGCTTGACCTATTCGCTTCTATGTATACTCTGTAGATGCCCAGTCTAATTGGACAGGATCATACCCATAGAAATACTAACCTACCAAGTATAATGAACTCACGTCACTTGGACTTGTATGCATTGGCTTACCGTAAAAATGTTTGAAGCATCCCGTTCCTGGCCCTCCGGCACCCTTTCTATTCACACTTCGATGCCGGCATGAACTACCACAACCCGCGGGATTTGACCAACCCCGCGGTCGGTCGGTTATCTGCCGATGTGATCCCTTGATCGGCCTCTGCGGACCCGAGTCAAAGCCCCTCGGGCTTTCCTCGGTGCCAACGGGCGGTGGCTCTGGTCGAGTCTAAATATGCACTCTAAACCTGTGCAACCCTCCCAAAACTTCCGATCAGCCTCCATTTCGCCCTTTAGCCGCGTCGCCCCTAAACCTGGTCCTGACTGGCACACCGGCGCACGCTATGCTTAAAGAGACTCGACTTGGCTCAAAACAAAATGTGCCGAGCTTCAAGCCCGCTACAGAAACTCCCGAGAGGCCTTGATCCTTGAATGTTTCACTCTGCCTGCCGCTGCAGGTAGCCTCCGCGCTGCAAGCCCAGGTTGGTGGCCCAACATGCCTAGACCCCCTCTGTTCGCCCGATGCCCAACGATATTTTTTCTCTATTGCAACCTTATCTTTTCTGCCCAGACACATGAGGGAAATGCTGTGCCTTACGCAGTACGCAGTAGAGTCCCTGCTGATGTGGTATCATCGAATGGTGCCTCAACCAGCTATCACACTACTAATACTGACGAAAATGTAGTATTTCGATGAGCACCATCATGCTGAGCAAACTCTCATCGCTGCTATGAACTGACGAGTCACCTTGTAACATTCAATGCCGTCCTCTCATGAGGACGTCAAATACTAGAATGCTACAATAAAAGAGGCTGGATTGCCGGAAATACAAAGTATCAGCTCGAGTGTCGAATCGTGCCCTGCCCACTTCTACCCAGTGTACTGTGTAAGCCTCATGTCAATCCATGAGTCTAATTCGAGTCTACTTCGAGTCTAAATGGTGATCACTGTCCGTCCGTTGGGCCTCATTATGGACACTTCTCTTGGGATCCTTGTCTCCTTCGCAGCCAGTCATGTCGTTTGGATTGACGAGGCATGGCAATAGCCAAGTAAACGTCTCAATGCAAACACATCGCCGTAAAACCTTTAGCGAGGGAGGCCTCTTGACGGCTTAATCCAAACTACGCCCGCCAGCATTACCTCGCATGAGGTCTTCGAGTCTTTGATATATGTGGCTCAGACATCAAAGATCATATTGCTTGGATTTCAGGTTATCCTACCGTACGCCATTGAGCTGGGGAGCAGCAGTCTCCTCTGTCAGCACGTAATCCCGCACTGCACCTTTCCAATCACTGATTCTCACGTCCTTGATCTTGACCACGATGACTCGTACTTCCTCACCCGCGACAAAGCATCCCCTGCCACCATCCTCGGCCTGAACACTTGGGTTGAAGCTCTGGCCTTCGTCAAATGTGTTGTTTTCCAGGTGCGCCTCGCGGTAGAACTTCTCCTCGTCCGAACCATTGTCAACCAGTCTTGCGGTGCCATTGATTGTAGCACTAATACTAGAGACCGCTGCGGTGTTGAGATTCAATAGGAGGGATGCAAGGCTGGAGCGGTGCTCTGGGCCGGGGCTGCCACCTGAAGGTCGTCGCCCAGATGTCGGCGGCCGATGGGAAGACCCTAAGCGAAGCCGTCAGCAAACTTTGCAGACACGCCACCACAATAATGCTATAACATACAATCGTGTACCAACAGAGATACATTGGGGTTCGAAAGAAGGTTCTGTGTTTTTCTCGAGGCGGGGTTCGTGGTCATGACAATTACGGGTCCAGCCGAGTGATTCGAGGATGGAAGGTAGGTGTAGTTCATGAGAGAGACGTTCGGCGTATTGTCGGTACATGTCGCAAGGTGAAGCTATCGATGCGGCAGTCTCGTCAGCCAGATGTCTACGTTGGTGTTGTAGTGAAGAACCATCGCAAAGCTTGACTGAGGTGGGCAGAAGTGCTAAGAGCTTACGAATCGAGCATTCTCCAGGCACTGTACGACTTCTTGAGGAAGAGTTGCCGTGACTTGCTTGTTGGTTTCGCCAGCCGAAGCTTCGTAGTTGAGAGGGACTTGTTGATCCATATTGGTGAAGCTGTTCTTGACAATGTGTGGATGTTGGGTAACGTATCGTGAACTTCCTTCGCATGAGCCCTGTCTGGATCGGCCGGGCTGGAGAGGAAAGATGGGCGCAAGGTCCCAGCCCACGCTGACTAATGCGGGGCAGAGCTATCGGACCTTCCATGTTATCGCGGAATGACGTCGAGGAACTTGCATGCTAATCTTATCAGCAGCTGCCTTACCTAAGGCAGCTTGGGGGCAGTTTACCAGACCTTAGCACGTACCGTATGAAATCCGGGGTCGCCTTTCAGCGGCTTTCAGCACCCACGGCTATTGTCGGCACCGCTCATTCCAAGATGATCGAGCGCAGCAAGCCGAAGCTGCTTTGAGACCTCGGGTTACCTGGGGCACTCGCATTGAGCTCTACGCTTTCCTCCACTGCCATCAACTTCGCTTTCTTCTCTTTCTCTCCATGAACATTCAATTGATATCCCAAGCTTGAAACCCACGTCACGAAGCTTCATTCATTCATCCATCATGCGTTCCATGAAAGCGAAGCACCGGCTCGTCCGACCCCTCCCTCGGCTCCTCTCCACTGCCGCTGGCCAGACGGTACCGGCTTCGAGCCAGATCACTCCCATTACCTCTCTCATTATTGCCAACCGTGGTGAGATTGCTCTCCGAATCCACAAGACTGCGGACAGGTTAGGAATCAAGACGACGACTATCTATACAGACCCCGACAGCAACAGCCAGCACGCCGCGTGTTCCCCGCATTCCTTGAACTTGGGCGACGCAAGAGCGTACCTAGACGGCGAACGCATCATCTCTCTAGCCAAGAAGCACGGCATACAAGCTCTTCATCCCGGCTATGGCTTTCTGTCTGAGAACTCCCGATTTGCCGAGAAATGCGAAAAGGAGGGCATCGTCTTCGTTGGGCCTCCGGCGCAGGCAATGACCGATATGGGTGACAAGGCACGAAGCAAGATCATCATGACCGACGCCGGCGTTCCCTGTGTTCCAGGGTACCATGGTTCAGATCAGGGGGAGGCACAATTATTAGAACACGCAAAGAATATCAAGTTCCCAGTGTTGCTAAAGAGTGTCAAGGGCGGTGGTGGGAAGGGTATGCGCATCGTTATGACCGAGGACGAGTTTGCCGCCCAGCTTGGCAGTGCTCGCGCCGAAGCCCGCGCCTCCTTTGGCGAGGGTGGCGAGGTCATGTTGGTGGAGAAGTACATTGTGCGCCCTCGCCATGTTGAGGTGCAGGTGTTTGCGGACAAGCTGGGCAACTGCGTTGCCCTAGGGGAGCGTGATTGCAGTGTGCAAAGACGACACCAGAAGATCCTTGAGGAGTCTCCTGCGCCGGATTTGGACGAAGAAACTCGTCTCGATCTTTGGGAGAAGGCCAGGAAGGCTGCTTTGGCCGTCAACTACGTTGGCGCTGGCACTGTTGAGTTCATTCTTGACAAGGACACCGGCGACTTTTACTTCATGGAGATGAACACCCGGTTGCAAGTCGAGCATCCCGTCAGTGAAATGGTCACCGGCACCGACCTTGTCGAATGGCAATTCCGCGTTGCTGCTGGCGAGAAGCTGCCAATGACACAGGAAGAGATCGTGAAGAACATCAAGCAGCACGGTGCAGCCATTGAGGCTCGTATCTATGCCGAAAATCCGGAGAAGGGCTTCATGCCTGATTCCGGCAAGTTGATTCACCTCACAACACCGAAGACGAACGAAGACATTCGCATCGATGCCGGCTTTGTCCAGGGTGACACTGTCTCGGAAGCCTATGATGGCATGATCGCCAAGTTGATTGTTCGTGGCAAGGACAGAGAGACCGCTATTCGCAGGCTAGAACTGGCTCTCTGTGAGTATGAAGTCGTGGGTCTCAGCACCAACATCGAGTTCCTTAAGCGTCTTTGCCGGTCTCCGGCTTTCATCGAAGGCGACGTCGAAACTGGATTTATCGACAAGTGGAGAGATGAGCTCTTCAGGCCGCGGCCAATTCATGCCGAAGTCTTTGTCCAGGCTGCTCTAAGCTCGTTGTCCCCACAACTATCACACGCTGCTCCCCATGGAGGCAGCTTAGGCTTCGGTGAGGCCAGTACCCTCAGCGAGCGCAAATTTGCCTTCAAGGTGCTCGATTTATACAGTGAGCAAGAAGGAGAGGTTGTAGAAGTTAGCATCACACAAAAGTCTCATCAACTCTTCGACGCACGTGTAACAAGGAAGGGAGAGGAGAAACCCCAGGTTTATGAGAACCTCATCAGCAACTTCCAGCCCAAGTCGTCGTCAACGAATGCGTTGACAACGTTTTTCCCCAACGAGAGATTGGAGTCGACTGTTGTGCAGAACGCGCAGACTGAACAGGATACTAAGATAGCTGTGTTCCAACATGGCATCAAGACCGAGCTTTCTCTTCTGCCGCCAAGTTGGTTCGAGAAGGCCCTCGGTCTGAAGGAGGTTACCGCGTCCGTCGTGGCACCAATGCCTTGTAAGATCCTTAAGAATGAAGTGGAGGAAGGGCAAACGGTGGCCAAGGGAGCCCCGTTGGTTGTGTGAGTGCCACCCAACCCGAGGCCGTTGTCGCAAGACTTCCAGTGGCTAATCTTGACACATAGGATCGAGTCTATGAAGATGGAGACTGTTATTCGGTCGCCCCAAAATGGCGTAGTTAAGAAGCTGGCTCATAAGGAAGGAGTGAGTGGTCCTATCTTGTCAAAGTCGCATGCCCCTCACTGACACTACCTTAGGATATCTGTAAAGCCGGAACGGTCTTGGTTCAATTCGAGGAAGAAGCTACAGAAGGTTCATGAGCGATACAAGAGAAAAGGATATGGTTTGAAACTCATATAAGCGGCTAGACTATGACTAACGACTCGCTTCTATTGCAAAGTACAACTGTGCCAAGTCCCTTGCCAGAACAAATATCCTCAGAGTGTCCCCGTTTTGAGCGCATTTAGTCGAAACTCTTCTCGAGGTAAACACTCAGTTTCTCCAGGCCATCTTTCAGCACTTCTGTCCGACATACGTAACCGAAGCGCATTTGGCCCTTGAAGTCAACGCCCTCACCAAAACAGGTACACCCAGGCATGATCAGAACCCCGGTCTTTTCAAGAACTTCGAGACAGAACTCGTCATCTCGGACTGGTTCATCGCCTCTTCGAAAACCAATCATTGCCGTCGTACCGGCTGTGGGCTTGACCCAGGAGCAAACAGACTGGTGCTTCTTGACAAAGGTCTCGAGGATCTCAAGGTTTGTCCTGGCAAGCTCGATGTTTCTGTTGATGAGGTTTGGTCTTACCGTATCCGACAGAGCATAGCCGGCCACTTGATCGTCGAGCTGTGAGACGCTGATGGTCGTGTAGTTCCGCGCACTCTTGACGGCTTCAATGATTTCGGGATCTCTCGATGCAATCCATCCCACACGGATGCCGGCAAGAGAGAAAGCTTTCGACATACTCGAAGTAGAAATGGTTCGGTCATAGCCCAAGGACAGGATTGACGGGGGCATGCTTTCTCCTACAGGAAGGCTGTGGAAGAGGGGTCGATATACCTCATCGGCCATGACAATGATGTTTCTCGACTTTGCAAACGCGATGAGATCTTCTAGAACATTCTTGGGCGTGGTGACACCAGTGGGATTATTGGGATTGTTGACAATTATCATCTAGCCCTTCAAGTTAGCCGTGGGTACTCCTCGTCTGACTTATGGTTGTATTACCTTGGTATTCTCTCGCACCAGCTCTTGAAGCTCTCGGACGTCCGGGATGTATCAATTCTCAGCCTTCAATCTCCAAAGGCTCACATCAGCGCCCAAGCTTTTGGGAACCTCGTACAACTGTTGGTAGGTCGGGTATACACAGATGACATGGTCATTGGCGCCGACGAGGGTGTAGAGAGTGAGGAAGTTGGCAACGATAGCTCCCTGCGTAATGACGACTTGATCTCTGAGGAGCGAGCCCGAGATATCATGTGCGTATAGGTTGGCGATCTGCTGGCGCGTCTTCTCTGATCCATAGATTGCGCCGTAAGTCATTCGTCGCGTTGCAATGTCAAGGGGGCTCGCAGCCGATTTATCGCTCGACAGCTCTGTCAACTCCTTGATTGACACAGACTCGCAGCAGGTTTCAGCAATGTTGAGAGCGCCAGGTGTTGTCTCGAGACGATCCATCCACTCTTCTACCTCGAAAGCTTTGATCTCGACCATAATGTCGGTCGATGTTGTGAATTAGGGCTCAGACTTGATGGTGCAGCTTGTACCGGTGCTTTAATTCACCGTTTGGAGAAAATGAGTTGGATTAAATAACCCAAGATGCGTGTCTACTGCTCTTTGAATCTAAACTTCCCAGTTGCGGTACTTTGTCTGACTTATAATCTGCGTCCAGTGTCTTGCATATCTTGACATACCATGCGCCCTTGTGACAGGGCGAGACAACGGGCGGCGGCGAAGTGTCTCCACCTCTCATGACCGACTAGGAAGGAAGGTCGAGACGAGAGCGAGCATTATGGGAGCCTCGGTTCCAACTTCTATTAGCTCGTGCCTTTTCACTTGACTAGCACTCAGCGACTAAAGTTGTTCAGTGTCGACAGGTTCAAGATCAATACAGCACATTCGTCAAATGGGTGGCCAATTACCTCCCTACTTCAATGGGTTTGGGGTTGCACCGATACCGAGGCAGGGACTGGAACGAAGGTAGAGTTGACAGCTGGGCCCCACTAAGCCACTGCGATGTTGAATGTTGATGAGAACCTTTGAACAGCTTACCAAGCCACCAGCTGTTAATCTTCTTCATCTGATACTTAAGATAGCAAGACCATAAACCAATTCTACCTTCTATGCTAATATTCCACATTTTGAGTAGGCTACTAGACTGAAAGGGGTTGATCATTCTGGTTTAGAAGTGTTTGGACAATCTGAACAGTTCGTTACGGTTTCTGGCCTATGCCTAGGCATGCAACCATCATACACCAAGAATCGTTACACTGTGTCTCAAACCTATCGAAGCAAGCATGAAGCAATATTTGAAGCACTGCATGATTCTTTTCACATCAAAAATGACCTATATGGCACAGTATCTTGATTCTGTCCTTTTAACGCCTCGCATGGTACTCGAGCCACCGCCACGGCTTGCGTAGCGTGCTGGTCAGCGCAGTTTCCTTATGCTAAGACAAGATCTTGAGAGCCATCCTTGATTACTACGCGAGCATCGAAAATTTTCAAGCATCCCTCGCTAGTTTTCAAGACTTGTGCATTCAAAAACGGCTTTGAATGTACGAGGTTTCAACGACGATCCAACGTGCCAGTCAAGTAGGAGCATAACTGAAGGTGAGGGTGATGGCCATAGAGGTTACATCTGTAATGTTTATTAATTTCTCCCGAGCTCCGCAAATACTCATGCGACATACCTAAATAGGACAGCGATGCAATTGTTCATGGTCGGAAAACACATGTGACAGGCATGTGGATTTCGAAGAGTCCTCATCCCAAAGCCGAGGTGAGTTGCTGCGCAAGTGCCAGCGATGTCAGGACTCGAATATAGTATTTTGTCTTCGCGGACTACAATACGGCTACGCGGCATGGTGTCATCTTGATTTAGTGCCATTAGAGCGCTAAGACTCGTCAAACGAGCCGACTTGAAGCAACTGGAAACACATCATGTCGATAGAATACCCCTCTTTCACACTTTGAAAGTCCATTTCTGCAACCTTTTGGACTACGGGCAGCCGAGTTTGGAGACTTGGCGCCATGTCCGACCCACGCACGGCAATGGCTATTGCTGGCGTGTCTTTCAAGGTTCACAAACCTCAGTATTACTACTTGGGGGTCGTTCCGCCATTCTTCCGTTGTTTCACCAGTCTTTCTGCACTTGGTCGAGAAAGGTAGATGCTTCATTGCCTATTTTCAAACTTCCCATATCTTCTATCCCTAGATCAGATCATCAGCCGCCAAGATGACGAGTTTACCTCCTGAAAAAGATGGCCCCGTGTAAGTCGCAACATACATCTAGACCTGACCGAACCTTCAACTGACCGAAAAAGTTCCAAGAGCAGCTTAGAAGCGGGTAACGCTGTCGAAATCAGTCACCATGACCATCCTCGCCGCAGTGAAAGCCAGACGGCCACTGGAGAGTCAGCTACCACTAGAAGCCCAGTCTAATCTTATCCTTCTTGCTAACGCGATAAACTCACAGGCCAAGAAACCCACTTGAAGGTATTCCCCGAGAACAGCTCAAGATCGATGCAAGGCTCTTCGCCATCGGCCTTGGCCTGCAAAACGAGATCGCCTACTTCGAGAAGGGGGCGCTAGCAGCGCAGACCCCCAAAGCCTACGAAGATATACCAGAGCTCACCGAAGATGATCGAGTCGTTCTGAGAAATGAAATCGAGCATCGCTGGAGGCATCCTAAAGCTCTCTACTTCACCATTCTTATGAACTCGGTCAGCGCAGCAATACAGGGCTGGGACCAAACGGGGTCAAATGGAGCAAATCTGTCATTCCCACAGGCGTTTGGGATTGCGGACAAAGGCGAGGCCTGCAGAATAGCTGGAACATGTGCAAGAAACTCCTGGATCATTGGTGCCATCAATAGCGCACCATACATGGCTATTTGCGTCATGTAAGTTCCTGATGAATTCCATAATGGACCTTTAGCTGACTACCTGGCGTACTGATAGCGCTTGTTGGCTGTCCGATCCTGTCAACAGCTGGTTCGGAAGACGTGGTGCAATCTTCCTGGGCGCAATCTTTAGCATCCTCGGCCCTGTTGGCCAAGCCCTTTGCCAGACTTGGCCACAGATCTTGATCTGCAGGATTCTTCTCGGTATGGGCATGGGGCTAAAAGAAGTCACCGTTCCCGTATTCTCGGCTGAAAACTCACCACCTAATATACGCGGAGCTCTTGTCATGTCGTGGCAACTCTTCAGCGCTTTTGGGATCATGCTTGGCTTTCTTGCAAATCTCGCTGTTGTCGGGTTTGGGGACATTGCTTGGAGACTCCAACTTGGTTCCGCCATGATTCCCGCGGTACCTTTACTCCTGGGAATATACTTCACACCTGAATCACCCCGATGGTTACTGAAGAAGCTCAGGTTTATTCAAGCCTACGAATCACTCTTGAGACTACGTGGCAACAATCTACTCGCCGCTAGGGATCTTTACTTCGTCAACGCTCAGCTTCAAAAGGAACAAGAACTAGTTGAGGCTGACGGGCTTGGTGACAGCAGCTTCTTCACCAGATGCGTGGAGTTATTTACCATTCCCAGGATTCGTCGGGCGACACAAGCATCAGGTATTATCATGGCAGCTCAGCAGTTCTGTGGAGGTAGGACAACGTACTCCCGAAATGTTGGAGGTCGCTTTGCTAACAACAGCAGTCAATCTCATGTCATCTTACTCCTCAACGCTCTTCGAGGAAGCAGGGGCAAGTAGCACCGTTGCTCTTTTGGCCTCGTGGGGATATGGTATGGCAATGTTCCTATTCGCGATCCCGGCTTTGTGGACCATTGATCGCTGGGGCCGCAGAGCGCTACTGTTGGTCACCTTTCCGAATATGTGCTGGGCTATGCTAGCTGCAGGCATGGCCTTCTACATTCCGCAGAGTAGTCCCGCACACCTCGGTGTTATCTGCTTGTTCATTTATATCTTCGCCGCATTCTATGGTCCTGGAGAGGGACCAGTGACGTTTGTCTACTCGGCCGAGGTTTTCCCTCTGTCACATCGTGAGGTTGGCATGGCTTGGGCAGTCGCAACGAACAATTTCTGGGCAATCGTCGTGGCGCAAACATCCCCGCCGCTTCTCCAGGGAATCAAGCCCCAGGGAGTCTTCACACTTTATTCTGTCTTTGGCGTTATATGCTTGATTCTCATTTTTCTTCTCCTTCCAGAGACGAAGCAGCGCTCCCTTGAAGAACTCGATCACGTCTTCTCGGTCTCTACCAGGCGGCATGCGTCTTATCAACTATTGGAGGTCCTGCCATGGTGGTTGAAGCGCTACATCATGCGTGAGGGAGACAAGCCTGAACCTACGCTGTATCTTTTCGAAGTAGAAGAAAACGTTGAGTCGGGACCAAAACTCTAAACTCATGCTCATTGAAGGCGGATAACACGTAAACATGAAGCCGAGCGGTGATAACAGGAGCTGAAGGCTTGCAAGCTTTCTTGTTGAGAGTCAAGAGCAATAATTATTTGAATTACACAATTACATTTGCATCTCTGTACAAAGAACCCTTCTATTGAAAAAGTTGGATTTTGGACTTTTAACAACTTATCCTTTGCCAAACAACTTTTTAATTACCTGTAATCGCGTTCAGCAACATGGCTGTTCTATTACGATGCTCTCCGGAAGAAAACATAAGGCGAATGGTCGTCACTGTGATTTTGCCGTTACAACATGATCAAAGACCAAACCTAAGCAAGTGATGTGATCCTGGGGTACTTGAATAGGTTAGGCACTAAATACAGGACCCAGTCTCAGCCTGAAAAGATGGGTAAAAATATTCGGGTTTCCAGAGTAATTCGTCTTTTACGCCAGTTGGGGCGTCGACTTTTGAATCGTAAACCACCTTATGCATCTTCAAAAGCCCATCATGGTAAATCTTGTGAGCCAATTGTGATGGTTTCAACAGAGATTGCGTGCTTCATTCATTTACTGGGTGATATTAGGACCAGAACAGTTCATTTTGTTAGTCGTAGCCAAGGGAGCTAATGTCAACATGCCTATTCTTATAAGTATTTATCATTCTAGTGACCGACACGTTATCCTTGTCTAGCTGGAGCATGTGAGTCAATGCTCGGCAACAGCCTATCGCTAGTTTGATCGCCGCAACCATTTTTGGAATGGCCGGTGGGGTTTCGGAATGTTAAGTCTTGTACGAGGGATTCTGTCTATGCTGCCTGCCGGAATAAACTTTTTAATTAAGTGAGCCCACACTTCTGCCTATGTCGTTCACGATATACATCGATTCAGGGGTTCACATTGCTTCATAAGCAGTCAACACCTGGATATATAAACAAAGCATTCATCTTATCTATGGACTGTGCAACAATAAGAACTCACCGAGAGTCGTCATTACAATACCGTTCATCGTTCCTGTTTGCGCCATGGCCACTCAAGCGTTCAGAAGCCCTGTGCCTCTCACATCCGACGAGGAGGCATTCATGAAGTACGAGCACGAGCGTGTCAAGTTGACTGACGAGCAGCAAGAAGCCTTCGACCATTGGGCTGGCCCAACAGACCCCGATGTGTCCGATGCGAAGTATTGGATTGAAAAGAACACCGATCTCGATTTCAATGCCTTCTCGTTCAAGTACCTTAATCTCGTCATCAAGCAGGCGGTGTGGAGGTACCACCAACGCGCATTCAAAGTGAGTCTCTAGAAGCCTGGAGTCCAGTCATGATCACTGATATGTTTCAATTGACTCTGGAACATTTGATTGTCAAACGTCCTGGGGCCGGTCTTAATCTTGGACATATGCCCAGCCTGAAAAAGAGATTTCCTGTTTTATTCTTGGGCGAATGGGAAGCCGTCACGCTTCTGGTTCGCGAATGTTGTATGCTGAGAGTTGTCAATGAATTGTCCGATAAACCTCAATGGTGGCACAAGGTCAAAGACGACACGATCGCTGCAAAGTGGAAATTGGAGGCTTTGACAATCGACTGGTCATCGTATATCGAGAATGCTCACTTCACTCCTTCTATGGCCGATGCGGTAAGTTGATTTGTGTCTTCACTGTAGAATATCGGCGCTGACGACCTCCAGTGCATCAGTGAGCTACGCAAGAAAGCAGAAGTGTATGAGCAGACAGGGCTTATGCCGGTCTACGATTACTGTACTGCAGTCATCAAGTCTGATAGCATCCTGACCCCCGAGTTCGCCAGGTCTATTCAAGATGCCGTCAAACCACTTGAGAATGTCCCTTCAGACTGCAAAGACTGGCACCCTAACAGCGACGATCAAGTCTTGGATTTAGTCCATCCCTCCCTCTGGCCCTTGGTATACGGTAGTTCTAAGGTGCTTCATGACCGCACAATCGGCATTGATGACGCTCTTGACCACTGCGGCATGGGTACGACAATACGCCAGCCGACAAAGGCGGAGGCTACACTATCTCCCACCACCTCTTGGACGAATACTTCAAAAAACAAGGCGTTGAGCAGGGAGTTTCAATGGCTACCTTGTGATGTGGACCTCGATCGAATCACCGGAAAAGCCAAAATTTCGAGCTATATCAACAACCTCCATCCTGTAGAGAAGGCTCACCTATATCCAATCATCGAGCAGCTGATCGAAAAGTCCTTGCCAGCTTGGGATCTCATCTACAACTGGGAGGATAAGTTTGCGATTCAGCGTCTCGTAACATCCAATGTTCAGAAGCCAATGTGCCCTTGTCCGGACATTTGCGGTCGACGCCGCGCATGCAGGGCGCAGGCACGTCCTCTCGCTGTAGGAGAGGCCCCACGAAACCGAAAGGATCCGGAGCGCAACGCTCGAGACAAAGCCTGGTTTCGAGAGACTCATGGCCCCGTACTTCCTGATGCTGACCCCGAGGCGAAAGATTACGTCAAGTTCGCCGCTTCCGACATCAAAAGCAGTGGCTTCTTTGGAGGTAAAGACCGCTGTCAGGTCATTGTCAAACTGGCCAATATCCATCTCACGCCGGAGAACCCTGCATACAAAGGTGGCTCTTGGCATACTGAAGGTCTTCTGAACGAACATATTGTTAGCACAGCTCTGTACTACTACGAATGTGAGAACATCACGGACTGCACTCTCAACTTCCGGACATGTGCCAATAGAGAAGACCTTGATGATTTTGGTGGACGGAGGAATGCGCAGAGGCCCACAGAGCATACCGTGCTGCCCGCAACCAACAAGCCTGGGAGACGGAGCAAGATGCGCACCTTTATCTAATGGAGAAACGAAAGGCGTTCCTGAGCACGGTGAGGAAGGCTAAGCGAGCATACTGGGCCGGAAAGATCGATGGAGTCGCTTCAGACCGGGACCTGTACCAGATCATGGGTTGGCGGAAGGCGAGCCCACTGACCAGAGCACCCCCATTGGTTGTGGACAACCAGACGATCGAGGATACTGACGAAAAGGCCCAAGCGCTTCGGGAAGCCCTTCTCGACAGGTTTAGTGCGGAAGATGACGCACCGGGTAATCCGTTTGACGTACCCGTCGTCCCAAGGCGAGCGATTACTTGGCAGGACAATGTTAGCGGAGAAGAAGTGAAGACGGCCACCTTAACAAAGACAACGACCCCTGGTGTGGACGGGATCACCACGCGCCTCCTCCAGGCCTGCTGGGGCGTCATCTCGGAGCCGGTCAGGCAGCTATTCCAGTCCTGTATGCGGGCCGGCCACTTTCCTCTGCCTTTCCGCAGAGCTGAGGTGGTCATGATCCAGAAGGCCGGCAGGGATGCCTCCAAGCCCGGGTCCTGGCGGCCGATCGCGCTCCTCTCGTGCTTGGGCAAAGGACTCGAGAGACTAATAGCCAGAAGGATGGCTTCTCTGGCGATTGTCGAGCGCATCGTCAGTCCGCAACAGATCGGAGCTCTACAAGGCAGGTCAGCCGTCGATCTGACGACCTGCCTCGCCCACGATATCGAAACGGCCCTCCTAAAAGGGCTCACGGCGACGCTTCTGACTATGGACGTAAAAGGGGCGTTCGACTCCGTCCTTCGGAACCGGCTCGTCATTAGACTGCGTCAGCAGGGATGGCCACACGGCTTGATTAGACTCATCTTCAGCTTCTGCTGCAACCGCATCGCCAGAGTCCGACTGGAAGAAAGCACGACGGAATACTTTCCTCTGTCATGCGGGCTGCCTCAGGGGTCGCCACTATCTCCCATCGTCTTTCTGCTCTACATCGCGGAGATCCTTGAAGACGACCCGGACGCGCGATTCGGGTACGCGGACGACATCGCCACTCTGGCCATCAGCCCCTCCCTGGAGAGCAACGTCGCAATACTCAACCGAAGCGCAGCCGGCATTCTCAGATGGGGCTCGGAGAACAAGGTCTCCTTCGACCCGAGCAAGTGCGAGGTCATCCACTTTACTAGGAAGCACAGCCAGCCAGCGGAGCTGCCAGAGGTCAGGGCGGGGGATTTGGTGGTCAAGGCCTCGACAAATCCTGTACGCTGGCTGGGTGTCTGGTTCGACAAGAGACTGTCCTTCCGGCACCACGTCGACACAAGAGTAGCTGCGGCAAAGAAGGCAGCTCAACACCTGAGGCAGCTTACAAACACAAAGAGAGGACTGCCAGCGGCCGCCGTGCGAAAAGCCGTCGTCTCCTACGTACTGCCGATCGCGCTCTTCGGCGCCGAAACATGGTACGCAGGTATCACGAAGCCGGCTTCGAGACGCCAAGCGGAGACAGACACGAGTCCGCCTTTCCAAGGAAGACCCGTCAACACAGGCCAGAAGGGGCTCGTGCAGAAGATCGACAGCGTCATTACAGCGGCAGCAAGGATCGTTCTACCTGTCTGGAGGACAACGCCAACCAGTAGCCTCCTCCGAGACGCCGGCTTACCGTCAGCCAAAGTCGCCTTAGAAGGCGTCCGTTTACGGGCCGCAGTCCGACTACAGAGGATTGATCGCCGACACCCGCTAGTCGCGCGGCTCTCCCAGCAGGGACAGCAACAGACGAGACTACAACGGACGGCTGAACTTCTGCCAAGATGCGGAAGACCAACGTTCCTCCAATCACAGTACCTGCCAAGCTCACAGGATCAGATAGTAGTTCAATGCAAAGAAGAGGCTGCGAAAGCTTTCGAGCGCTGGCTAAAGACAGTACCGGAAAGCCATATGATCGTCTTCTCGGACGGCTCCAGGGCGACGAACGGAGCCGTGGGGTACGGCTTCGTCATCTACCGAGACTCCAAACGCATAGCGCAAGGGTGCGGCCGACTCGGACTAGCAGAAGTGTTCGACGCCGAGGTCGAAGGGGCGCGAACCGGCCTCAGAAGGGCTCTGCTCACCAATCGCGGTCATCCAATCCACATATGTATCGACAACACCAGCGTTATACAAGGCATCCGCGGCAAGGCGCCGGACTCGTCACAAGACGCGTTCCTCGAAATCCAAGAAGCGGCCAGGATATTTGATATACGGACGCACTGGTCCCCGGGACACCAGGGCATCGAAGGAAACGAGGCCGCGGACCGGCTGGCCAAAGAAGGAACGACACTGCCGGCGCGGATGGGTCAAATGGCAACACTAGCGGGCATCAAGCGGCTTGCAAGGGAAAAATTACAAAGCCAGCACAGGAGATGGTGGTATAAAGAGCGAAGGCCGCGGTACGCGGACTTGGGGCTTGAGGCAGCTCTGTCCAGCCCTCCTGAACTGGCCTTGCCGCGGGCTACGTTACATCACCTGCTGGCGGCACGATCGGGTCACGGGGACTTCGAGCAATATCACCGACGTTTCAACCACGACGACGCTCTAATGATGTGCTCTTGTGGAGAGGCGAAAGACGTGGACCACCTGGTCTACTGTCGACTAACGCTGGCGAGGAGGCAACGGTGGCCGACCCTCCACTCTCGCAGTATGCCCGAGCCCATAGGTCCTATGGGATCTCTCGAGGCCTACTTCAAGAGATTAATCACCGACCCACGAGGCTTCGAGGCCTTTCTCCGCGTGACGGACTTCTTCCAGAAGATCTGTCTGCGGTAGCAGCATCCACACCTAGGTAGATGTGAGTGCGGACTACAAAGAACCTCCCGATTCCAAGGGACGATTTGGGAAAGAATGAAACTGGGGCACCAGCGGGAACCGGGGACAGACAGAACGCGTAGTGGCCACAAGGCATGATTTGGAGGACGATGTAAAGAGACGACGTACTGTAGAGTAGGTAGCCTTGGCTCACGGCCCTCCACGCCATATACCCTTCGGGAGGTCTGCGGTAAGGGCTCTAGCCCGGCCGCCACGGCGTTAAATACAACAACAACAACAACAACAACAACAACAACAACCTTGATGATTCTGAATCACGGACCTCGCTCGACTATGAGCAGTACGACTGGTGGAGCATCAAGCAGGCATTCGCAATCGAACCTCGTGGCCACACGATTCAGAATGTTGGATCAGTACATACGAGAGGTGGCCGGGCACTATTCTTCCCCAACCTCCTCCAACACCAAGTCTCTCCCTTCGAACTGGCAGATCCCTCGAAGCCTGGCCATAGGAAGATTGTGGCTCTCTTCCTTGTCGACCCAGCCATTCCTATCATAAGCACGTCGAACGTGCCGCCTCAGCAGAAGCACTGGTGGCCTGCTGAGCCTAAGACTGATTCACTGCTCGCCTCAACATCAGATGACCAGGGATTAATTCAGTGGGAAATGGTTCGAAAAGAGTGGGCTGACTCTGAAGACGCGTGGTTGAAGGCTCGAGAGAATTGGGAACAGGCTCTTAGTAGAGACAGGTGGCCCATCGGAATGGAACAGGCCAAGGAGCTGAGAAAGGAGCTGATGGCTGAAAGAACGTGGATGAAAGAGAAGGAGGCTTCTTGGCTCAAGACGGAATGGAACTTCTGCGAACATTGATTAAGTTTGTTTTCTTGATTTTCGAGGAAAGACTTATTTTTCTCATAGTCTAGATACACTTGCTATGCTTAATTCGCCATGAAGTCTCGATCGGTTCACCCTCCATTTGGCCTCTTAGCCTTAGACGACGCGACTACTACTGCAATATATCTACAATAGCCACTCGTGATAGATGCAAATCCAGTTTGGCTCATTTAGGGCGTTCCTCGTGGATTTTATTCTGAGACTGAGCGCACAAGTGGGCATCAAGGGTGTTAACCCATTCGAGATCTCTATTGATTGAAGTTACGTATTGTTGAGTATTTTAACATGGGAGAACCGCCGACTCCGCGAAGGTTATACAATACACAACTTTTCTTCTTTTATGTATAAACCATACCTCCGTTCGCGCAGATCGTGTCTCCAGTCACCCAGCGCGATCTTTCTTCGCACAAGAACACAATAATATCTGCCACATCCTCCTCCGTTCCGCATCGGGGTTCAGCTGGAACCTTCTTATTCTGTTCTTCCATCCTCGTAAGATGCACGGATCCGGCAGCACGGTACATATCGGTGTCAACAGGGCCGGGGTTGACTGAATTCACCGTTACCCCGTATTTGTGGCCCAACTCTGTGGCCCAGACCCGTGTAAGACCTTCGACAGCAGCTTTGGATGCGGCATATACGGATTGAGTTGGGTAGCCACCACGTGCAGATATGGAAGACAGGTTGACAATACGACCACCGCGGTTGATGTGAGGTAAGACGCTTTGAGTCATGAAGATGACTGCTCTAACGTTGACTGTCATCAGCCGATCATAATCTTCAATCGTGACTTCTTCGAGTGGTGCGTTTCCTCCGACACCCGCGTTGTTCACCAGAATATCGATCTTGTCGGTTTGGAATTCTTGAAAAGCGTCTTTCAGAAGAAGAGAGGGAGCCTCAAGAGATGCCATATCGGCGCGGATGCACGTCACTCGAACCCCGAGCCCCTTCACTTCTTCGACCAGTTTGAGGGCAACAGCTTCGGAGGAAGGAGAGACATAACTGAATGCAACCTGCATTATGTCAGCGTCAAGATCTTCCATCAAGGGTCTACTCGGTCAAGAAGAAGCTGCTATGGCTATACAAAGAAAGGATTCTCTGATTGATCGGCCTGGCAGACGGTGGCAGACAATAAAAGTAGGACTTACACTTGCACCTTGTTTAGCAAGAGCCCGAACTATGCCAGCACCGATTCCTCGAGCCCCTCCCGTCACTATGGCGATCTTTCCATTGAGAGACATTGCGATATCTTGTAGTCCAGTGGTCGTATGTGTTTCGAATCACTCTCTACGAGCGTAGTTATAGATTCTCTCACCAAAAGGAGAAGTCAAGAGACCTAGATTTTGATTAAACTCGAGGTCTCTTGAGGGCTTGTCAATCACGATCAAGCGCGAGGTATGTCTAGGAAGATGGTACGGAACCCAGGCTTGCATAAGTCGCGTGCGGGGAGTCGCAGTGAGCGGGGGTTTCCGTCCAAATCAATAATGTGGCGGAAACCCAATCGGGTGACAGTGCGCGGAACGTGGGGTAGTGTTGACTTGATACGGCGCCGTCTATGGTGTCTTGTGAGGAGATGATGTGTTTGGGCCAATTTGTTGAGGCTGCACGGGACGATCCAATGTGAACGAGATGACCAACGTGTTCGGAGGGGGGTAAGCGAGGGGTAAAGAATCCCGAAGGTTATGCAGCAGGAAAGATGGACATCTAACAAAGCTGTGTCCCCCCCCCCCTCCCTTTTGTGAGATTAGATGTAGTTGATATATAAGAAGCTAGCCGCACTTACGTTGAGCTTTCCAACTCACTTCGTCATTGATACCAACAGGTTCCAGACTCATTGGCCTTTTTTGTCATCAAGTTCAAAGTCATACTCATCAACCACTCATATCTACTATGGATACATCAAGTGCAGTCGATATCCTTCGCCGAAAACCCGACAACCTTGCAATTTATACCAACCCTGAACATGAACTTTATCTCAAGAAGCTCGATGTTCCGACTCCAAGGGAAGGGGAGTACCTAGTTCACGTACGAGCAACTGGCATCTGCGGCTCCGATGTTCACTTCTGGAAAGCAGGCCACATTGGCGAGATGATCGTGACGGGCGAAAACGGGCTAGGTCATGAGAGCGCAGGCGTGGTCGTGGGCGTGGGACCCAAAGTGACGAAGTTCAAGGTTGGCGACAGGGTAGCCATCGAATGCGGCATCCCTTGCATGAAGGCATCGTGCTTCTTCTGTCGAACAGGCCGATATAACGCCTGCCCAGAGGTGGTGTTCTACTCGACGCCCCCATATCACGGAACCCTTACACGCTACCACGTGCACCCGGAAGACTGGCTTCATAAGATCCCTGACAGGATGTCGTATGAAGAGGGTTCTCTTCTCGAGCCGCTCTCAGTGGCTCTGACGGGACTCGAGCGATCTGGCGTTCGCTTGGGTGATCCGGTGGTTATCTGCGGTTCTGGTCCCATCGGCATTGCTACTTTGCTGGCTGCTAACGCAGCAGGTGCAAACCCAATCGTCATTACTGATATCAACCAGATCAGGCTAGACATGGCAAAAAAGGCAGTGCCTAGGGTGCGAACTGTGCTCATCACCCCTGAAAAGGAGCCGCAGGCAACTGCCGAGGATATCAAAGGGGCTCTTGGCCAAGAAGCTAAGACAGTGCTGGAATGTACTGGCGTTGAGTCAAGTGTGGTCACCGGTATTTACGTAAGTTATGTACACGATTTACACGTCGGACTGGGACATCTTTGCTAATTGAGCTTTGAAGTCTTGTCGATTCGGCGGCATGGTCTTTGTTATCGGCTGTGGTAAAGATTTTGCCACGATTCCCATCATGTATATGGCTGGCAAGGAAATTGAATTACGATTCCAATTTCGTTACCGAGACATCTATCCTCGAGCTATTGGGCTTGTTGCTGAGGGAGTGATTGATCTCAAACCATTAGTCACCCATCGGTTTGCTCTTGAAGATGGCGAGAAGGCCTTCAAAATAGCCTCAGATCCTAGTGCTCTGGCATTGAAAGTTCAAGTACTTGACGACTGAACCCAGAGCGGTAGCACTCAAGCCTTCTAAGATTGTATCGTCGTTCAAGGGGAAAGATTCACCTGGACACGGATAGGGGTTGCTGGTTCGGACGTCGCGAGACATTGTGCAGGCTGCAGTGGCGAGGTCTTAGTGCCTTTCAATATCTTTTTCAAACGATTTGGAACGTTTACGTTTTATTCTTCCTTACTGTGGGGTGACCTGCGACTGGACATCGCCCTGACCGGGGGGTAACTATGTATGAAGCAGGACCCTGTGTTGGCCACGGCTCAAATTAAGAGAGCACATATCCCCAGCCGTGACATTGCATTTCTAGGGACACTGTCGTCGGTGCCATAGTAGTTTTGTTCCTTCCAGCATTCCTTCAGAACGCGTAGCACAGTGTCAACATTTGTGAAACCGGAACCCGAGCTTTCGAGGATTCCCTCAATCAGGTTCTCGAAGAATGGTTGTTGATCTGGCCCTGCCATTGCTCCAGCGACGCACATAGCCCACGTTACAGGTTTCAGGGACAGGCCATCAGGCACACTCTGAAAAGCAGCCATGACGTCCGCTACTGCGTTGTAAATGATTCCAAGCGCGTTCTCTGGTGGGTCTTCTGTATTGGCTGAAATAGTGTGCAGTTGCACAAGGACTGCAGTTGCATATATGCGGGTAATCGACTGCGATATTAAGGCTGAAGCGGGCTGGTCGGACAAATTAGTATTGTTTCATGCTCGATGTAATTGAGACGGTAGACTACCTTTTCTTCTACCCCCAAGTATCCAACACCATCTTCGAGACGTTTAGTGATGTCTGCTATCTTGCGGCTCAAAGCTCTCGGGTTTATCTCTGCAACTTGTGCTTCTATCGAGGCTACATCTCCAAGAGCCAGCATAGCCCAGTTCTGGCAACCCATAACACAGGACACATCGATTTCTTCGTGGCTGAGCCACCTTTGGTAAGGTAACCTCGGTGGTTCACCTGTAGAAACACATGACAGAAGCTCGAACCAAAGAAGCTGAGACACATGGAATCTGATGGCAGCACTCATAATCCTCTGAAATCCAGTCTCGATTCTCGTGGAAGGTTCGGACCTTCCTCCCACGCTCTCCAAGTCAATCTGACCCGCGACCAATACAAGAGCGTTGAGATGGGACTGCCAATTGGTGGTTCCGCCTTGGAAGACCTAGTCAGATTAGCATTAGCAGGGTGAAATCGTGGTGTCAAAATGGGTTGGAAGAGTGGATACCTCGAAGCTGATGAGGAAAGTTCCACAGGTAAGAAACTCGACGCGATATTCGGGATGGCTGGCGAAACCGTCTGTCTCGCAGCGAACGAGAACTTGACGGAGTTCTTGCATCGCGTTGGTGTGATATCGGATAAGCTCTGACTCCATCTCCTCTGTCTTACTGTGCGACATGGCGTGTTGATGTAGAGCGGATAGCGTAAAGGCGGCTTGACGAAGCGGCCCTTGCTTGGACAGAAGCCAGAAAAGCCATCCTCGACCACCGAGTGCTGGCTTATCCACGTAATAGGCGTATTGAAGGGGAAATATGTAGTCCAGATAATACGTCAGGAGCTCAGCTTCTCGATACTCAGATCCGCCCGGCGAAAATATTGCTGACTCTTCAAGGTTTTCTGCGGAAGGCTCCGTTACGGCTCTGGTGGATGAACGTGTGGAGGAAGCCTGCAGTTTTCGAGTTCTGCGGAAGTTCTGTTTCACAGCATGCTTGATGCGTTGAAGTTCCGCTTGTAGCTTGTTTGGGTCCTTAACCCAATCAGGCTCCGCTCCATATCCATGGCATACTATGTGTCGATCTGTGCATTCTTTACAGGTTGGAATTGCTTCATCGCACTTCCTATGGCGGATACGACATGTCCAGCAACCACCGCTGCTACGGCCCAAGGGTTTGGACATTGTTGCGGGGGTGTCTCTGGACTGATCTGGGGGTTTTGGCTTACCAAATTCATCGAGAATTTCCTAGGAATGTTGTTAGACAGACTCCAAACAAGTCGTAATGACCCGTCAGCGGGACAAATTTGATCGGGCTGTTTTGTCGACGTTCGTCGCCGTCTTCAATTGTGTCGGTTAATCTTTCCCAACCCCCGCATTAGTAGCCTTGCAACCGAGACCGTCTCCACAATTCGGACTCTTTCACCTCGGGAAAGAATGTCGAGCCGTACTTTAGGAAGGAAAGTCGAGACGAAAGGACTGCAATTGGTCCGCAGACAGTAACGCTCTTGTTTTCTGTAAGTACTTAATTAACAAAGCAGATTAAGAACTCCATCATCAGCGTGCTTTTTCACAGTTCAAACATCGATCACACAATTATCTCATATTGCTGCAACTCTTCTTAAAAAAAAATATTCATTCTATTTGAAGAGGATCAAACGATTAGAGCGTCGACCACCAGAGAACATCGATTGAATAGCTCTAGGCATTCTTAATCATGTGCGATCCATTCATTGTAGACAGTCCCCCGTAAGGTATTCAGAGATCAGTACCAAGATGGCACGCAGAACTCCCTCAATCTGCGCGGGATATGCCCTTAGATGTGGTTCTTCCGGCAAAAGCTCACGATTTGGGAACTGACAGTATACACATACCAAATGTTGACAGGCTTTGTATACACAAACATGTCAAGAATTCCATATTCAGGGGGTAACAATTTCTTTCCATTCTCTGTTACTTCCACACTAATTAATTCACCATACGAAATACAGATTACAGACTAAACATTCCATTAGATTCGACTCGGCTCAGTAAACCCTGCCCAAACTGCACACCCAGGTTGGTTTAGTTGATACCAGCTGCATGCTCTAGACAAGAGACATATTAATAGGATGAAAGACCTAAGCCTGCTTCTTGTTGCGGTCGCGGAAGTGATCTCTGGCCTTCTCACGGGCAGCGCCGCGCTCCCGGTTGGCGCAGAAGACATAGTTTCCACGGTTCCTGTCGCAAATCTCGGCGCCGCGCTCTGTGAGAGTGTTAGCCATTTTACCTGATTGAAGGATCGGCGTTGAATAGTATCTAACTTACCATAGGTGATGATCAAGTCCTCACTAGCCGCGCAGAAAGCAAGGTCATCACCCTTGCAATTGGGGTCGTGGTCATCGCGGCCACGATCACCATCACGACCACCACGGCCTCGGTCACCATCGCGGTCACCATCACGGCCGCCGCGTCTGTCGCCATCACGATCGCCATCGCGGCACTCGCGGCCTCTGCCACCACGGTCTCCATCGCGGCGGCGGTAGCATTCGCAGCGACGCTCTCTGTAGCCGTAGTACTGATCGATCTCGCATCGGGTAATTCTGTCGAATTCGCGAGCAAGCTCGATAGCC